GGCTGGAATCAATGAAGCTACTTATTATAATGTAAATGATGTTAGTTACAATTGCCCTTGTTCTAAAGGCAGTCCTCAAAAGTCAACTCTTCAGTCTTTCATTGGTAATGACTACTTCTGTGAATCTGGTAATCCTGCTACTGATAGTACATATCAATCCGTACTTTACACATCTGATCCATTGTGGGATGGTAAAGGATGTGGTAGTCTTGAAAGTACTTGTTGTGCTGCCTCTTGTCTTCCATGGTTTCACAAGAAACTGGGAGCTGCCACTACTGACTACCTTGAGCTGAGGGTGTGTGGAGATGAAGGAACAAGCAATGAAGACACTCCTATCAGCTTTTATGAAATTTATGTCAAATAAAGTGGAACCATTAAAACTTTTGCTGACATTTTAACTTGTTATTATTATTATTGTTTACACTTTAGTCTTTAGCAGTCATTTATACCCACACTTAGCATGGTTAGTTTTTAAGATTATACAGTTATTTTGTAAATTGTTTGTAATTAGCTATAGCAACTGTTTTAATGTCAATTCCATCCCTACAAGGAAGAAAAATAAGTGCAGAGTCTTGTCTCCATCCTGTCTTGATGGATACATAACATAGAGACATAGCTAGTTATACGCTCTTGTTGTGGCATTGTTGTGTACTTGTATCCCATGTATTATTGCATTACATATATCAACCCTGTCTGGATGGTTTTATTAATAGTTAATTCAGACAAAGGATATAAAAAGGCTAAAAAGCACTGCTCAGTGTAGACAAATTTTGCCACAGGACAGTAGATTATCTTGATTCTTCATTATTATAATGGTCTCAACGATTATCTCAACATTTGTTTGCCTTTGCATTATATTCTCTCAAGTTAATGCTCAGTCAAATACATTTGGTCACTGCAAGGAAGAGGTATGCTGTAACCAGCAGGCAAACCCACTGCTGACTTCTTGCAAAGACATCAAAAGGAAATGGAGCAACAGTCCTACTGGATACTATCAGCTTGGTACTAAGAGAGGTCCTGTATCAGTGTATTGTAATATGGATGGGCTTTGTGGCACTAAAGGAGGATGGACAAGACTTGGATATCTTAATATGGCTGACCCTAGTGAAAGCTGTCCTTCTGGATTTAGACTGTACCAGTCAGGAGGAATTAGAGCTTGTGGCAGACCTTCCTCTAGTGTAGCTGGCTGTGTATCATTGAAGCTATTAGCTGATGATATCAGTTACTCTCAAGTATGTGGT